AGAGATCTTTTAACTGCAAAAGAATGGGAATTTTGATAAATACTACTTGTATTATTTTTTCCCCTTTTCACTTATTTTCTTTCAATAATTTTAAGGAATTTAAGCCTTCTTCACCTGTGAAAAGTTACTTCAGTAAATCCTTCTGAAATACTTTATCCAGCATCTCTTATGCATCTTTATTCCAAAACTAATATTTCTGATTTTAAATTTGTTTATATACAATTCAGATAATGTTAAAAACCAAAAATGGTAATGGCTCTTAAATAAAAGCCAGTTTATTTCAAGTATAAGTCATTATATTCTTAAAGACAAGTATGTTCTGATAATCTTAACCAAAAGTATATTTATAATCACCTCCTATATTTTATTAACACAAAAGCCATTTAACTTCAGATGCAGAATTGTGAATGTAAAAAAGAAGCAAACATTGAATCAAAATGTCATTACAGAAAGATATGCAGTACTCCAACATCTAAATTTAAATTAAAACAAAACAAAAAATAAATAAAACTTCTTCTTAACTACCCTCTCCTCCACCCTGCTGGATTTTAGAATTTTACTTCCCCTTTGCCTATTTTCTTCTTCATTCATACCTATTACAAAAGAGTAACTACATTCTTCCTTTAAAGAGAAACTCTGAAAGGAAAGGGAGTGTTCATTTCACTCTTGTCAGATATAGAGTCCTTTTCCCCGATTATCATTGATATTTTTTTGTTATTTTCATGATTCCTCCTTGATTGTCCATGTCTGTTCTCTGTGCTTTTATCTTGTAACATCATATCTTGATGTCAGACTTTATTCTTCATAGTCTGATTCACAAGGAATTATTAGAAAAGACATTTTAAAGACCTGTCTCCTTAGGAATAATTATACACGCAAAAGTCATCTCTTAGATAATTGAAAGTCTGGGAATAGAAGAAGTCAACCATTTTAATGGTTATCTATGTGCAGCCAACAGCATCTGCTTTTTTAGACATTTCAGGACTCCAGCTAAGCGTGAACCTCACATCAGAAGAAATACAAGAGCCATCTACTTCCATTGTTTGGGTGTTTTTTTAATGGTCCAATAAATCATTGATGGCTCTATAGACTTTCCTTCATATCTTTCTACTGCTGAAAGAAAAGGATGGTATTCTTCTATTCTCTACCAGTTTTTTGCTAAAACAGCACACTTGTCAAAACAGTGAAAGGTTCACTTTTCCAGGTGTGTGATCAATACACAAAGATGTCAGAGATCCTCGGTGAGAGGAAGGTCATCCTTTGGAAGCAGAGTCTGAAAGTTCATGATAGTTTCCAATTGTATTAACAGTGGATCACTTATCTTAACTGATAGAAAGCTCTCCTAACAGTCTGTAGAATGTGAAAACAGACATACACCTATGCTATGTGACAGCTCTATTGATATACCTTGAAACTTTTAGCTTCCCATACCATACCCAAAAAAATCACCCTCTGGGATTTAAATAAGAAATACCCAGGAAAAAAAAAAAAATAAGGATGCCCTTAGGAGCAGAGTCTTGGTCTTTAAAAAAGAACAAGAACGCAAATACAGAGTTAGCTTGACCTGTTATGGTCATGGAGTTGCTTTGCTCTTCCTAGAATTCAACATGCTTCTGTTCTCTAAAAGTACATCCACATGAAAACGCACATATTAGTATAAATGTGAAGCAAAATTGCTGGGCATCTCTCACACTCTCTTCCCTCCAGATTCCTAACTTAATTATTTGGCTTTAGTTTTTTAATTCTGGCAATGATAGTGTTCCATTTTATTGTATCTGTAATACCAATTTAAATACTTTTCAGATGTCAGCATGAGATATGAAAGTGTGTTTGGGGAATGAGGATATCGAAGACGTTACCCACACAAATGTTGCTGTGTCTGCCTGCCACATGCCTAACAGCCCTGAAAAGCAGAGTCTTGTTACCAGTTTATTTAGACATCAATTGTAGCTCATAAATTCTTACAGAGAGGATCTGCATTTGATGTACATCTAAATGATTAGAATTCAATTATATATGTTGCTGAGGGTGGGAAAGAAGAAATTGAATAGCAACTTAAATCATGTTAAGTGATTTTAGTATCATTCTGGTCAATGCATATAACTCTGCAATGAACATCAGATGTGAGAAGTGAATTTATTATACTCAGTATCAGTTCCCTCTTGTGTCTGATAGTGGTACATCTCATCACACAGAGGGGGGTTCTAGAGTTTTTATACGACGTGATGTGAAATGCCAGCTTCATCTACAGCTGCACTGAACAAAACAGCAGCTATTACAAAGCTGGAGGAAATATGTAGCTCTGTTGGAATTATCTGGAGAAAGCATATTAGTCTCCAATGTGGTGCCTACAGGATGTCCAAAGACAATTTAACTTCTATGAAATATTCATCTTTAGAGCTAACTCCCATGTAAGATATGGCCCTGATGTATTGATCAAATAAAGGTAGATCAAGGGCCTAATATTACTGACTCTGTTTTTTCTCCTAATTTTCCATAAATGGGTTAGTTGCCTTTAAGATAGTGTGACTTCTTTTTCTGTTAACTTTTTTTAGGTTTAGGGGTACATGTGAAGGTTTATTATGTAGGTAAACTCATGTCATGATGTTTTGTTGTACAGATTATTTCATCAACTAGGAATTAAGCCCAGTATCCAATAGTTATTTTTCCTGCCCCTTTCCCTCCTCCTATCCTTCACCCTCAAGTAGACCCCAGTGTCTGTTGTTTTCTTCTTTGTGTTTGTAAGTTCTCATCATTTAGCTCCCACTTATAAGTGAGAATCATGCAGAATTTGGTTTTCTGTTCCTGTATTAGTTTGCTGAGGATAATGGCCTCCAGCTCCACCCATGTTGCCACAAAAGACATGATCTCATTCTTTTTTATGGCTGCATATTATTCTATCCATTGTGTATATGTACAGCATTTCCTTTATTTAATCTGTCATTCATTGGAATTTAGGTTGATGCCATGTCTTTGCTATGATGAGTAATGCTGAAATGAACATTCAGGTGCATGTGTCTTTGTGGTAGAATGACTTATATTTCTTTGGGTATATATCCAATAATGGGATTGCTGGGTCAAATGGCAGTTCTGCTTTTAGCTCTTTGAGGAATCACCATATTGCTTTCCACAATGGCTAAACTAATTTACACTCCCATCAACAGTGCATAAGTGTTCCTTTTTCTCTGCAACCTAGCCAGCGTCTGTTGTTTTTTGTTTTTTTGTTTTTTTTACTTTTTAATAGTAATCATTCTGACTGGTGTGCAGTGGTATCTCATTGTGGTTTTGATTTGCATTCCTCTAATGATCAGTGATATTGAGCTTTTTTTCATATGCTTGCTGGCTGCATGCATATCTTCTTTTAAAAAGTATCTGTTCATGTTCTATGCCCACTTTTTTTCAGTTTTTACAGTTTTATTTAAACACAAAAAGTACACATAAGCTGTCTACTCATTTTCTTTGCTGCACAGCCTGGAATTGGGGTGACGCCCACTTTTAAATGGGGTTATTTTTCTCTTATAAATTTCTATGCATTCCTTATAGATGCTAGATAATAGACTTTGTAAGATGCACAGTTTGCAAAAAATTTCTCCCAATCTGTAGGCTGTCTATTTACTCTGTTGACAATTTCTTTTGCTGTGCAGAAGCTCTTAAGTTTAATTAGGTCCCACTTGTCAATTTTTGCTTTTGTTGCAATTGCTTTTGGTGTCTTTGTTATGAAATCTTTGTCTGTTCCTATGTCCAGGATAGTATTGCCTAGGTTGTCTTCCAGAGTTTTTACAGTTTTTAGTTTCATATTTAAGTCTTCAATCCATCTTGTGGTTTTTTTTTTTTTTGTATATGGTCTAAGAAGGTAACTAACCTCAGTCTTCTGCATATGGCAAGCCAGTTATCCCAGCAAGATGCTATGATTTCTTTGTGTCTTCTCAAAGCAAGAGTCTTTTCTTGATCTGATTTTGGAATAAAAGGTCAATTAAGAAAGTGAACATTATCCAAGCAAAGTTCTTCTCATGCATATTTATGTTCAAATTTAAGAGAAAGGAAAAGGTAACATTTTCAATTTTCCAAGCACCATATGCAAGCACCATACATTTTGCTCATAATTTAGGATATTTATAATACATTATTATTACATTACTTTGTCAGGGTTGCCATAACAAAGTACCACAAAGTGGGTGGCTTAAACCACAGAAATGTCTTACAGTTCTTACAGCTCTGGAAACTAGAAACTCAAGAACTGTAGAGTTCTTTCCATATGATGGCTTGAGAAAGATCTGTTTAATGTCTCTCAGCTTGTTTTTGGTAAGGTATTAACTATATTTGATGTTCCTTAGGCCATAGATGCATCACCCTGATCTCTGCCTTTTTGTTCACATGGCAATCTCCCTTTGTACAGGTTAGTCTGTATCTAACCTTCTTTATAAAAGTCCTAAAAAGACTGTTGCCCTTATAAAGTCCTTATAAATATCCAAAAGCTCTTGTTGGATTATAGGTTTTCCTGATTCCAGTATTGACCTCATCTTAACTAATGATATCTACAATGACCCTATTTTTAAATAAAGTCACATTGTGAGGTACTAGGGTTTAGATCTTCAATATATGAATTTGGAGGGAACACAATTTAACCACAACAACAGCTAGTTAACATGGTTTTATTTCCTTTTTAAATTATTATTAGGTAATGTTTATACAAAAATGCAAACACGTCAGCTCAAAAAATAATTTCAAACTAATCAATTAACAGGTTTCACTGAGTGTCTATTTTTCTGCTAAATATTATTAGATATTATTAGAGATTCAAAAAAAGAGATGTAAAAAAAGACCGTTTTCTAAAATAACATATCCTCCCACCTAGAACGGAAAAAACTAGCCAACAACAGCAACCTGTTTTACATAGAAAAACACACTAAAACATCCAATTACAGAACCAAACATCCTAAATCTTTTCCACAAAATCTGACAACACCTTACAATATTTGTTGTTGTTGCTTTTTCTACAGGCATATTTTGAATCAATGTTCCTTGGTCATGTTCCTGCAAATGTTCAAATTCATAAGAAAGCAGGTCCTGTTTATGGGTTTAGGGGCTGCATTCTAGACCTTCAAGTAAACAACAATGAATTCTTCATCATCGATGAAGCACGACGTGGAAAGAATATTGAGAATTGTCACGTCCCTTGGTGTGCTCATCATCCGTGCCGCAATAATGGCACCTGCATCAGGTCAGTACTAGTCTCCTGATTCCTAACCTACATTACATGACCCCAAATTCTTAAAACAACAAAAGCCAGCAGCATTGTCCTCTGAGAGATGGAAAGGACAAGTCCAGAACCCTCAAGTTTTTCTATGCATCACCCCGATGATTCACACATGTGGTAAATTCTTGTTTGTCCAAAGAAATGTATATATTGTAACCCAAGTGACAAGAGATTCTGACTCTGACAATAACTAGGTAACTGGACCTGGTTTTGGCAATTTCAAATGCATCCAAGTTTTTATCTAGGTGTTCCAGCTTCTTGTAAATATGAATAATAAGTTATTATTCATTGGTGATGGTTTTGATATATTTATTAATTTTTATCATACTTGTTTTTTATTTATCTGCAAAAAAAGAATTTGCTTAGATGGCTAGGATTCGAGATGGAGCAAAAATTACCTATGTCTGTGTTTTGCCTTTTATTTGTAATCTTATATCCCATCATGCTTATAAACTTAAGAAGATTTTAATTAAAATTGCTTTCTGCTCCACTTAAATGTCTTAGCTGAATCAACCCTGAGGGAGTCTCATTTGAACAGTATAAAACATATTCCCAATTTCCTTCAGTCATCTGAGCATTCTTTATTTTGGGACTACAAATAGCAACAGAATGGAAGCTGAAACAGATACAACTTAACAATAATTCAAGTCAAGAAAAAATTGACCAAATCTCACAGGAACTATTTTAATTAATTAATTAATCTCAGTATTTTCAAGGGACAAGCTATCAAGCAGTCAATAATGACTCCATAAAAGTAAACATCTCTATACACAGTGTAAAAAAGGCTTAAAAAATGCTAGGCAGAAATAAACTCTGAAAGTGATCATTAGAACAGAAAATAAAAAAAGAGGAAGAGAGAAAGAACCAAATAGCAAAGACAAGAAACAGGACTGGACGGGTATGATAAAGTCAAGTTGATATAGTTACCAGAGAATTGCAGAATTGAAAAAAATAAAAATCAAGGCATGGTTAGTGGAAAGGGAAGAGAGAGTTTCTTGGAGTGTCTAGAATTTGGCTCCTGATTCACTGTGGAAGTATGACTTGATTTATACATTGGTACAATAACAGCAACATAGACCTATTCAACATAAGAGAAGTACAACAGATACAGATTTAAAGAACGAAAAGTGAGTAAATTTGGGTGCTAAGAGTGAAGATATTACCTTGACCATCATCACTTTCCTCTAGTCTTTACTCGATAAATATTTTGCTTTATAATGGACCCACTAATACCAATTGTTTTTCAAAATGTAATAATGCAAAACTAATTTAGCAAGGCAATCTGCAGAACCCTGCAGAAAATCCTGCAATTCTGTAGAATTAAGCGAAATAGAAACAGGAAAAAAACTTCTCTACTGAATTCATTAATGTCTGAAATATTTGTGTCATTCAACCTAAGTAAATATTTTCCATGAGGCTTTATCACTGATGAAATTAAGAAGTGACAAAAATTGTGATGCCTCCCTCCCTATATGTGGTGAACATACTCTACTATGGCCCTGCAGTTCCCCCACCTGTTGTTGTTCATGCCTTTGTGTGATCCTCCCTCCCTGAATGTGGATGAGACCCGTAACTTGCTTTTAACCAACAGACTACCCAATAAAGTAAGGTGATGAGAAGTCACTTCCAGGATTAGACTACACAGAAGTGTAAGCTGTATGTTACAAAGAGATGATCTCTTTTGCTGGCTGAGGAAGGAAACAGTAGCTTGGGGAAGGCCCACATGACAAGGCACTGAGAACAACCTCCAGCCAACAATCAGCAAGGAGTTGAGGGTGGCCCCTGGCTGACAACCAGCAAATATTGAAGCCCTCATTCTTACAGCTGCAAAGAACTGAATTTTACCAACAACCACATGAGCTTGAAAATGGGCCCTTTCCCAGTCACGCCTTGAGATGGGACCCCCAACATAGACTGCACCTTTACTGCAATGTGAGATTCTTAGGCAGAAAACCCAGTGAAACCATGCCCAAACTTGGCCCATGGAAACTGTGAGTTAACTAATACATTCTTTTAAGCTGCCAAGTTGGCGTTAATATTGTTATGCAGGAATAGAACACTAATACACTCTCATTTTCTGGAAAAGTGTCTAACATTACCAACTCAGAGAAATAGGTAAGAATAAGATTTACTTTAGAACATTAACTTTCTAATATTTTGTAAGCCAAGAACATGTTAAATAAAATAAACCTCTTATCTGCAAGGATTAAAGAACATCACATTAATTCCAATCTCAATTATTTAATATGTATTTGAAAATAACAATGAAGATAATCATCGTGACAGGATATATATAAGCAGTCCTAGATTTGTTTATACTTTATATATTGATTCTCTTAGACTTATTCCAACAAATATTATCTGAGAGCCAACTAAAAGCCAAGGTATAGATAAATCAAAGATGTGTATTCAAGACACCAGGTTTGCACACAAAGAGTTTTTATTCTAGTAAGGAAGCTCTATCAGCTCTTCAAGACTCAAGGTAAATTTTCCCACAAAAATATATTAGTCAGTCTTCATCATGTACATTATCTCACCTTCCATATTCATTTCTAAATCTCTCAACCTCTCAACCACAACTCCAGAGAAATCTACTGGAACGTCAACTGACTTGGCATGCACTTTTGAAAGACTTCCAGATCTGTATGTTTCCTTATATTGCTGGCCAAATGGAGATATGCCACTTGTGTATCATTAAGTATAACACTCTTCACATCTTATGAACAACATGCTTTCTATCTTGATTGCCAGTGCTTAACACCTGTAAACTACTCCTTGCACTGCTGCATACAGGGCATGCTGCTCCATAGCAGCTGTGACTTATATTCCTGCAATCCCCTGTGTATTCCAACACCACAATACATGGGAGTTGGCCAGTTCCAAAACAATATTGTTTTAAATTATTAAAAGGATCTGAGAAGAGGTACCTGCAGTGTATCAGAAGCTTAATACAAGAGAGCAGATAGTTGTGGGACCTCGGAGATTATCAGAATAAGAATGCTGTCTTTCACTCTTCCCTGTTCTGTCTAAAACACCAATATCCAACCCTACAGCTAGCACTCCGGCAGTCTGTGCAGTAATCCAAAAAGGAGAACCAGAAAATGTACTGAAGGAGAACACAGACTCCCAGTGAGACCATAAGCAGTTTCAGCTCATTAAGAAAAACACAGGTCAAAGAGGTAGGACACAAAAGTCCATGACCATGACCGACATTCTCCCTCAACAGATGCATACTCACACTTGGCATACACTGAGCAGTGTAGAGGCTTCCAACAAGGAAATTTAGAGAAATCCTGTCCTACTGAGTGAGCCCCGAACTGACTTCATGATTTTGGGTCACTCACTTCCTACCTATGTTGTTAGTGCAAGTCAAACACTCTCTTTCTCTTTCTGCTGTTACATCATAAAGTGGATTTCTCCACAGTCTTCTAAATTCTCTTCCAGTTTCTTCTCACCCTTTGGTTCCGTTTTTTTCCTCAGTCCATGCCATGTGACCTGATCTCACTCCTGAGCCCATCTAGGGAGAGTTTTAAACTTCCCTTCTCCTTTCTCCTATTTTCTCAGAAGAGGAAATTGGATGCAAGGCAGCTTTCAAAATAACAGATCAATTTGAATAATATGTGTTAATATTCAGCCTCTCTGGATTCAAGGGGAAAGAACAAGATGGCCTGATGAAATTCTTTATAGGCTTACAAGTTATATTACTTTATTTTCAAAGTAATAGACTGTTTATGTTCAGAATAAAAGAGTGATTATTACAGAGACAGGAAGAAAGCCCTTTTACCCCTCTGCTTGCCTCTCTCAAAATACAGAGACACTGACATTTTAATACTATACCACGTATGCATGAAGTTTTTACTTTGAAATGCAAATAATTTCTCATCACAGTTTAATAGTTCTAGGATAGGACTCTAATTCAAAGGTTGGGGAATGTTTCCTAATGGGGTATATGAGAACCTTAAGAAAGAGAGATGTTTTTCACCACACACACACACAAACTCACAGACTTGAGCATTCTAATCCACAACTCCTGAAAATGCATGCCTATTTTCCCCAATAAGTAAAGAATAATAGTGCTATAGCACGAGATAACCCCTAAAGAAATCGCCTCTCTACACAAGAGTAGGGTAATGAATGGAGTTTTAGTCCCATAGAGTTAGACGTTAAGGTTCACAAAATGAAATGCTGTTACCGTGGATATTTGTAAAGAAAATCATCACTAATTTTTCTATCTTGGTTGATCTAATTTACTGCTGTAAAGAGCTGTTCCTACACTGTATATGAATGTAATCTGCTTACAAGAGGACAAATTTCATGTTGAAAAGTATTAAGGAAAGTAACACTTCAGCAGCTTTACTGAGCAAATGTCATTCTGCTTTGAGTACCATCACATGTTTCTGAATAGTGTCCAATCTTTGTTCATTTTGTTATAAATCTGTACTAGAATTTTCAAACCCCTGTGGTTGCTCATTTCAGAGAAGCTCAAATTGCATATAGTGAAATTCAGCTTAGAAAGTAATACAGAAGGGTTATTCTGAGTATCCAAATCTCTATGGATTTAAAACAAGGTGTTTGCAAAAGGGCATAGGAAGGTTAGCAAATTAAACAGATAATATTTAAATCACTTTCCCCATTCTGAGCCATATGTTTTTAAATAAATTAAACAATAATTAAAAGGAGCATCAGGTTTGGGAATATACCCTATACAACCACACCAGTAGAAACCTACATCACTGACATTACAGCAAATAATTATTGAGACACTAATTTTAAATGTATTCTTAATTGTACCAGGAGCTAAGCACATATAAATGTATTTTATCATGCACTGAAAGTCAGTAATTCCCACAACTCAATAAATCTGCTTTCTATGTTTCTAACTGTTCTCTTAGCTTTTACTCACCACTAACCTGTGCTATCCTCCATGTTCTAAGACAGAGGCTAGCAAACATTCTCTGTAAAGA